CTGTAGGAACTATAGGCAAGCTGGTGCATAGGGTTATCTCCCCTGTACCCTGGGTGAGGAGTCACTTTGGTGGGGTCCTGGTCCCATGTGGGCCTGTCTGCTGGATATGGCAGGGGAAGAACTGCCTTGGAGGGGTGCCTGTGGAGGCCAGTGGGCTGGGTAGGGTGGGTGGTAGGGGAATGCTGGCATGGGGCATGTGTTGCTAACAAAGAGAGTGTTAGAATTGGCTTCTGCAAGCATCTAGCTATCTAGGCTCACAGTGGGCATGAAAAATGGCACCCACCAACACTTTTTTATTCCTGGAGAAGTCTGCACATGTTTGCCCTTCCCGCACACACCCTAAAATTACTTAGTAAATCTTCATGTATACTCTAGGCGCTTTTTAAGCTGCAGCTTCAGTGCCATCTCCGGCTGAGATACTTAGTAGTGTGCTGCTGGCTCTTTTGCCTTTCAGTTCAACTGGAGTTAAGCTGCCCTGATTTCTTTCTTTCTTTTTTTTTTAAAGATTTTATTTATTTATTTGTTCGAGAGTGAGAGAGAGCATGAGCACAGGCAGACAGAGTGGTAGGCAGAGGCAGAGGGAGAAGCAGGCTCCCCGCCGAGCAAGGAGCCCGATGTGGGACTCGATCCCAGGATGCTGGGATCATGACCTGAGCCGAAGGCAGCTGCTTAACCAACTGAGCCACCCAGGCGTCCCAAGCTGCGCTGATTTCTAAAGCTCCTGGAGTTAAGCCCTGCTGATTTTCAAAGCCAGACATGATGGGAACTTGTCTTCCCAGTGTAGGTCCTTACAGCCAGGATTGCCCTGTGTGGGATCCTATCCCTTCACTTCTCCATGCTTGTGATGGCTCTCCTGTTGGTGGTTATTTGCACAGGGGTTTGGTTCCCGGCCATGTCTCCACTCCTTCTACCCTTTCAGTGTGGCCTTGTCTCTATGGTCAGCTGTGGAAGATCTCTTCTGCTGGTCTTCAGATAATTTTCAGAGTTAATTGCAGTAGACATACTTGTTGCCTCAGTGTGTCTGTGGGAGGAGGTGAGCTCAGGTTCCTCCTACTCTGCCATCTTCTGTCATTACCCTCAGATTTGTTTTGTATTGTAGCTTTATTGGTTTTGGAAATACATGATGCTTTAGTAAAAGCATTTAAACTGAATAGAAGACTTCAAAGAGCAAAGTAAAAAAATTGAAATTCCACCATTTAAAATGCCACTGTTGATGACATTGTACTAAGTGTTGTCCAGCCATTCAGATACGCAGCTCCTTTGCGTCTGCCTTGTTTGTGTGATGTGTGGATCCTGTCCTGCTCCAGGCTGTGCCTGCCCCACCTGAGCATGTTACAGCTTTGTAATGTCAGCTCTGCTGCCGCTTGTAATGCAGTCCCGAATCCCATTGAATATGTCAGCATGTTCTCAAACTGCTGGTCTCCACTTATTTATGCCTGTGGGTGCTTTAGTTGCTCTGCTCTTTGGTGGCTTCTCATCTTTGCACCATTATAAGTAAAGCTGTGAGAAATATTCCTTATGGTCTTCACTTTGGGTCATCCTTTTGGGGAAACCAGTGAAGTGGGATTGCTTCCTCAGTCCAAGGTACTGACATTTTGTGAAGGACCAAACCGTGTACAGAAAGGTTATTGCAGTGTTTGTTCTTAACAACACATGCATGTGCATGTTTTTCCCATGTCGTCCAGGCACAAGTTTGTCTACCTCACCTAATACATATAAAATGTGATTTATCTTATTTTTATTTTTAAAAAAGATTTTATTTATTTATTAGAGAGTGTGAGCGAGAGAGAGCACAAGCGGGCGGGGGCGGGGGGGGGGTGGGCGGAGAGCAGCAGAGGGAGTGGGAGAAGCAGACTTCCTGCTGAGCAGGGAGCCTGACGTGGGGCTTGATTCCAGCACCCCAGGATCATGACCTGAGCTGAAGGCAGATGCTTAACCAACTGAACCAGCCAAACACCCCTTATTTTTTATTTTTTAAGATTTGTTTATTTACTTTAGAGAGAGAGCACAAATGGGGGCAGGGGCAGAGGGACAGGAGGAGAGAGAATCCTCAAGCAGACATCCAGCTGAGCACAGAGCCTACCACAGGGCTTGATCCCAGGATCCTGAGATCATGACCTGAGCTGAAATCAAGAGCCGGCTGCTTAACCCTCGGAGCCACCCAGGTGCCCCTAAAATATGATTTAGTTCACATATAATCTTTCAGGAATATATCAAATATGGCTGTATTAATTTTTCTAAGTAGTTCAGACACATACTTTTAACATGTTTTTTTTAATCTTTTCTATAACCTAGGCTAAAAATTAAAAGTCAGATGATTTTCAAAGGGAAACACAGTTATATTTATAGCATTATTTCATCATTATTTCATACATAAAAGGGAAATAGTCTCAATTTCATTATGAAGGACTAATTAAATAAGTTGTGATACATCCATATCACAGTGTGCCAGGAGAAAAACATAGTTCCGTATGTGCTGAAATGCAAGACTGGCAGGGCATTTTACTGAGTGAGCAGAGCAGGTAGCCAATCAGTGCACGTGTTGTGTTCCCACTTAGGTAAAGAAACTAAAGGTAAATTAGTAGAAAGACTTTTGAAAGAATTTATTTCAGACTTGGAAGATTGGGAGAAGATAAATTTTACTTTAAATTATTAATCTTAAGTATTATTACTGAAATCAAGTAGATAAAATGAAAAATTCAGTTTTTTAGTTACCCTAGGCGCATTTTAAGGACTTAAGTAGCCACATGTGGCTGATGGTTTCTGTATTGGATAGCACAGATGTAGAATGTTTCCATCACAGTGCTGTTTCCTAGTGCTGCTCTGTACCCTAGTACTGTTTGAATTTTATGCTGTAAGCATGTTTTTGTATGTTGGTTTGTAAAATAGTATATATGCTCAGTATAGAATAGTTGGAAAATGCTGGCAGTTAAAAGGAGAAATTAACAATCACACATAGGTCCATAATTTGGAGATAGCTAATTCCTAACATAGTATATTTCCTTCCAATCTTTTTCTCATATGTAGATATTTATATATCTATATAGATATTTTATATATAGACATTGATTCATCTGTGTGTGTATACATACACTATACTATGTATAGTTGAAGTCATATTTTAAGTAAAGTTTTGTGTTTTACATATTTTTAACAGTTAAATGTAAAAGTAAGAATTAATTTTATTTCTGATAACTTTTTTTTTTTTTAAAGATTTCATTTATTTGACAGAGATCACAAGTAGGCAGAGAGGCAGGCAGAGAGAGGAGGAAGCAGGATCTCCGCTGAGCAGAGAGCCCGATGCGGGGCTCGATCCCAGGACCCTGGGATCATGACCTGAGCCGAAGGCAGAGGCTTTAACCCACTGAGCCACCCAGGCGCCCCTGATAACATGTATTTTAACAGTCCACTTAATTTCGGCTTTTTAGACACACCATACATATTACACCGAGTCTTTTAGAACTTTAGTGATCTGGAGTAGTCATGTCAGTCCCAGATAGCACCTTATTTATCATTCAGAGATTAAACTTTCCAATAAAACTGTCAAGATGTTAAAGTTTATGAAGCCACATCGTTATTTAGGAAACATTTTAGGAGGCCTCTTCATGTCTGCTCTGGTTTTCTTGAACTGTATAAATTTCCTTATTTTTACCAATCCCACATGACGGACAAATGATGGCATAAAGGCTGGAAGAGAAGTAAAAGGAGGGTAGCAGCCTGTGAAACTATTCTTTATGTTTGTGTAATATAGAAATTTGCTCAGACATATAGCTAGACTGCCAGATACTAGCATCATGAGAAGTGTTTAACTGTCCCTGAAGTAGGATTACTTAACAAAGACGGTTCTCTTTCTCTCGCTCTCTCCACATACATATGTGTGCATATTATACATATATTTTAAACAGCTTTATTAAAATATAATTTACTGTATAAGTTGACCAGTTTGAAGTATATAATTTAATGTATCCTGCAACTTCAAAATAACACTACATTTTTTTTTTTAAAAGATTTTATTTATTTATTTGTTCAAGAGAGAGAGAGCGAGCACAGGCAGAGAGAATGGCAGGCAGAGGCAGAGGGAGAAGCAGGCTCCTTGACGAGCAAGGAGCCCGATGTGGGACTCGATCCCAGGACGCTGGGATCATGACCTGAGCCGAAGGCAGCTGCTTAACCAACTGAGCCACCCAGGCGTCCCATAACACTACATTGTTAATGTTTTATTACATTAATCTCAAGATTCATTACATGAATCTTAACATTAAAGTGGGACTAAAGGAATGATGGCTTTAGAAAAATCATGTTTAATTTCAAGTAAGAAGAATGACATTTTTGGAGGAAAAAAATCTGTTTGCAAAGCATTGTGATTTAGGAGAAAGACCTGTGGCTTTGGAAACAGATTCACTTCATATGCTGACTCCTATGAGTATGACTTAAGTGTTCAGTCACCTGTTCTTTATAAAATGGGGTTTAAAATCATTACTTGCCTTGCTGCATTGAGATTATACTTTATTTATAAACTATGATGCATCTGATTCCTAAGGGGTGCTCAACAAATACTAACTGCTGGTACTGTTTTTCTAGGGAGTATGGAATAGGTTTAGCTCATAGGCTCTGCATTCAGATCTTGCTGTGCCACCTACTTGCTTGTGCTCTCTCTCTGCCTCAATGTTTTGTGTAAAATGGGGTAATGATTGTACTTGTCCTGTAGGGTTAGTAGGTGGATTAAATGAGGGGCGCCTTGGGTGTCTGCTTTCAGCTCAGGTCATGATCAGGGTCCTGGGATTGAGCTGCATGTTGGGCTCCCTGCTCAGCAGAAAGTCTGCTTCACTCTCCCTCGCCCCCCCCCCATCCCCCAACCCCTGGCTCCTGGGCTCTCTCTCTCAAATAAATAAAATATCCTAAAAAAAGTGGATTAAATGAGTTAATGTAGGCAAGCATGTAATGAATGTGGTTTCTTCTTATTAACGTATTGATTGGTTTCTCTATATTGATTTTTATAGGAGACAAGCTATGGGAGGTGCAGTGTGAGTCCCCGACTTTCACCGTGGCTTGGCACCCCAAAAGGCCTCTGCTGGCGTTTGCCTGTGATGACAAAGATGGCAAATATGACAGCAGTCGGGAAGCAGGAACTGTGAAGCTGTTTGGGCTTCCTAATGACTCCTGATAGGAGGCCTTCAGGGAGAGGAGACGCTGGCAGAGGCCTTCCTTTGTGTATTAGTTCGGTCTCTTCTCTTGGAGTTGATGGGCTCATGAAGTGTTTGTAAATTGGTATAAATTATACAAGTCTTGTCAGTCTGCATATCCCAGTTCCGTTCTTGTTATGTGAACTTTCCCGTTCTTTCCCCTCCACAGGAGGCTTCTGCACGATAACACCAGCATATATTGTCCTCTGGGTACTTCCTGTCTTCCCTGCCTTTGTGTGTATGGTATACTTTGTTGGGTTTGCTTCTGCTTGGACAGTACCTACCTTGGGGGGTGGGGTAAGTGAAGAAGGTGAGATGGGAATGGAGATTTTTTACAGTAAAAAGAAATGTATATAATTTTGAGATTTGAGCATTTAATAAAACTGACTTTAATTATGGGACTTCTACGACTTTAAAAGTTACGGTATGTTTGTTATTATTGTTGCAGATATTGGGAGATGTTGCAGTTTTGCATTTAAAAAAAAAATCTCAGGTTGGATTAAAGGTTGACATTCTATCATTTAATGTCCTAACCAAGAATTCTGTGAAATGCAGGGACCCAGCATGAAGTGTAAGTGCAATAGCAAACCTTAAATTCTTCAGCTTGAGTGTACCCTGCCTTAATCTACAAAGGATTTGAGAACAATAAATTTATGGTAAACATTGAGAAAAGCAGTAAAATGTAAGCAAATCCAAAATCAGGAGAAGACATACAGATAAGAATAGAAAGTTGAAATTGGGGAAATTAAAATAGAAATATGCAAAGAGTGAGAACCTGACTGATTGAACTAAAATTTTGGCTGTGCCACCTGGTGGCAAAGTGAAGAAGGGAGAAGTCAGTTAATTTTTTTTTTTTTTTAAATATTTTATTTATTTATTTGACAGAGAGATCACAAGTAGGCAGAGAGGCAGGCGGGCGGGGGGCGGGAAGCAGGCTCCCCACCAAGCAGAGAGCCCGATGTGGGGCTCGATCCCAGGACCCTGAGATCATGACCTAAGCCGAAGGCAGAGACTTAACCCACTGAGCCACCCAGGGTTCCCAGAAGTCAGTTAATTCTTAATGAAAAGCAGAGCACATGCCAGTTCCTCAGGGAAAGCAGAACTTTGTTAGCTCTTACTTCCAAAAGAAGTTGCTCAGGTAGGAGATTACCTGTGAGCAATGTCTTGATTTTCATTTTATTTTAATGTATTTTGGCATTAAAAATACAGAAATAATGATGTTTGTAGAAAATTCTGGAAAAAGCAAGTAAGTGAAAAGAAAAAAAAAATCATTATTTCTCCTCCCAGGAGATAGTCACTATTAGCATTTTTGTGTGCATCCTTTTAGGAATTTTCCTATGTTGTATTTATGTTAGAAACATGTTTATACAAATCTTGCAGAGTAGGGGTGCCTGGGTGGCTCAGAGGGTTAAAGCCTCTGCCTTCAGCTCACGTCATGATCCCAGGGTCCTGGGATCGAGCCTCGCATCGGGCTCTCTCCTTGGTGGGGAGCCTGCTTCCTCCTCTCTCTCTCTGCCTGCCTCTCTGCCTACTTGTGATCTCTCTCTGTCGAATAAATAAATAAAATCTTAAAAAAAAAAAATCTTGTAGAGTAGACAAATCAAGTATAACAACATAAAGCATGTAAAGTGCTCAATATCACATTAGGCATTATTAAAAACACTCAGAAAGTCTTAATAGAAATTTTTAGTAATTAGACCTTCCTTAGGCTTGGTACTATAATGAGCACTTTACTTAATTTTTGCAACAGCCTTCTGCAGTTGGATGTTATCATCGTTTTACTACTCCAAGGTGTTTAACTCAGTGTTATTCATTAATTGACAGTATTCAGATCTAGATGTGCTTAGAGGTCCATATGCCTTTTATTTGCAGTGGCCATTCTGTCTCCACTTGCCATTCCCATTTTATAGATGAGTAAACTTTGACTCTGAGAAGTTGACTCTTGGCCCAAGTTAATGAGTGATCGGTTGAGTCCAGTCTTCAGGCTCAGTAGTGTTTCCTTCAGGCTCCAGAATAGCCTCTGCCTGCATCCTTCCCTGAAGGTGGTCTTTTTAGTTGCAAATCAGCATGCCACCTCATTATGTCAGAAGTTCAGTGTTGCTCATGTCACTGGGAGTAAACGTGGCACACTTTTTATTTTTATGGTTATCTGTCATTTCTGGAGTTGCTACTCTCTTTTTCTATATATCCTCCTTAGCACTGGAATCAGACACCAAGTTTTAGTCTAGCTCTTAGTATTTGATCAGTTCCCTCCTCTTTGATCCATGTGGATTTTTTCCCTCTGCGTTTGTGTAAGGTAATGATCCGCTCAACTTTTCACTAAGAGATTTGTTGCTTTCAGCTAGCTTTCACTTTTAGTGACAGAAAAACCCTTATTGGAAAGAGCTCGAGCTTGTGGCAGTTTTTGCTTATTGTCAGGGCCTTGCTGACAACATTTCTGTGCCCTGACTTCAGAGTCCTAGGGAGGCTTAGAAGTTGGGTCCATCTTGGAGAAATGTATAATTTGTCCCAGACCTGATGCCCTTATGTCTTGAGTGAGTTGTCTGATTTGAGCAAGAAGGGAGCCATTCATAGTCACCCAGCAATTGATGGATTCAGTCAGTCTAGCCATGTTATACAGTTACTGGTCCAAACACTAGCAAGTCAAGAGAGGGTGGTGAGTTCTGCTCTGAGCTAGGCTGTAGTTGGTAAAGAAGGTTTGGGATTTGCTGTACCAATGACCCGTTGCTGTGTAGACTTGAGTTACAAGTCAGGCTAAGAAACAGGTAGTGAAGGCTATGGTACGTTTTGTGCTGGGATTCTGGTTTCTCTGTGGCACGAGATACAGGGAAGAATGAAACCTGCCAAACGTTAAGCTTGTGTAAGGTGTATGTGTGTACCTTGAGGATTATCCCCCTGCCCTAAGCTATGGGGGGTAGCGTCCTGATAGAGGGGGCCGGGAGGCTAGTGCAGGGAGTTTTGATGAGAGGCAATTAGATCCAAAAAAGGAATCAGGAAGAGGCCAATTCTGTGAGGTCCAAAACAAAGACTGTGTGTGTGTGTGTGTGTGTGTGTGTGTGTGTGTGTGTGTGTGTATTATGAGCTGCTTGGGGTGTGATGTGTCAGTGGCCTTGTATTTTAGAATGACCAGGAATGGGGTAGATAAACCCTTCCTCCCATTCCTGTTTCAAAGATGTATATTACTCCCTAAGGGTTTTAATCATAAAAGGGACCACGAAACGGCTTCCTTCTTTGGAAGGGAAAAAGCCCATGAACAGGGTTAAGAGGTAAGTCCTCTCTTTGAGAAGGGGGGTAGAGATCGTACACCTCGAAGAGCCTTGCACGCTCAGAAACACCTGTGTGTGGGTAAGTGCTGCCTTCTCCACTCCCTGTGACCCTGCGGTACAGTGAAAAGAAGGCTGGTTTCCTAGGCGAACGGAATGGGCTTTGAGTCCCAGCTCCAGCAGTGACGGACTTGAGCCCACTTTCCTCTCCCATAACGTGCAGGTGATACAGCCTCCTGTCCTTGGGTTGTTTGGAGACTCAAAGGACGTACTGTGTTTGTAAAGGGTCCAGCACAGCACCTGGCGTGCGGGAGATGCTTAGCATATCCCTGCTCCTCAAGAAGGAGCCGCTTTTCAGGAGAACACGGAGGCTGGCTACAGAGACATGTCGGCACTCTGTCAGCTTTCTTGGCTCTCAGCGCCGGAGCTGAGCGAGCCCCGTCCATCATCAACTCTGCAATGACGAGAACGAAGAGAGGAGGCTCATCTGTCCCACTCGGGCAGGGCGGGGGGGGGGGGTCAGAGGAGAAACACGGCGTCTGCTTTGTGTTGCGGTCTGTTCGGGGCCGTGATGGAGCTGTGTGCGTGTGGACAAGCAGAGCCTCAGAGCTGTGCACTTGAGCAGTGAAGTGAGAGGAGGAGGAGGGTAAAGCTCCTCTAAAGGAAGGGAGAAGGCTGGGCAAGGATTGGAGGCAGAGGAGGAGGACTCAGTGCCAGTCTTGAATGGGGGGTGGTGTGACCATCAGAGGGGAGGACATGTGAGAAGGTACTGCAGCTTGGAGCAAAGTGGAGGGGGCGGCTGAGTTCTGGGCTGTGGAGGAGGTGGTCAGGTGGAACGTGAGGTGGGGTTGAAGTGACACACACAGAAGACACAGGAAGAGGCCACTTGCCAAGGAGTACAGGCAGCCTCAGTAAGCTGGAAAAGGCAAGGGAATAGGTTCTCCCTCCTCCTCAAAAAACTCGACTCATCAGTGGTCCCTGATCCTCTTTTCCACCTGTAGGTAGCATGTGGGACTCGATAAGTTTCCTAACTCGTGTGAGCATCTGGGTGTTTCCTCATCTCTAGGTGTGACACTGCCCACTTCCAAAGGGTGTTGTAAGAATTCAGTGAAAGCATTCACGAGGCTGTTTACTATTTTTTTATAATGATTTTATTTATTTATTTGACAGAGATCACAAGTAAGCAGAGAAGCAGGCAGAGAGAGAGAGGAGGAAACAGGCTAGGCTCCCCACTGAGCAGAGAACCCGATGTGGGTCTCGATCCCAGGACCCTGAGATCATGACCTGAGCCAAAGGCAGAGGCTTTAACCCACTGAGCCACCCAGGCGCGCCCCGCTGTTTACTATTTTTATTAAAACAAGCGAGCAGGTTGCCACAGAGGTGCTAGGGAGACGTGAAGGAGAAGCTGAACGAAGCCAGTGGCTGAGGGATGGAGGGGCTGAGGGATGGAGAGGAGGGGATCTGGTTTCTTTGAGAGGCTCCAAGCCCTGTGATCCTCCCTCACTGGAGCCCAGCTTTACCTCCTTCCAGCCCTGGGAACTGGGTTTAAACTCGCGGGCGTGTCCCTGTCTGGCCACTAGAGGGCAGTGGAGGCAAGGCCGCAGGGAGGGAGGTGGGCGTCCAGAAGGTTGGCACTGGTCTGTGTGTTCAGCCTTTATTCGTGCTCTGAAGCCTAATCGTGTGTTTGCATTGTGCTCTCCCCTCCCTCCTGCTCTGTGTATTTGCTGATGTTTTTGGAAAACACTTGGTTCTCATCGCAGGGCCCCTCCGAGTTCCTGCTTGTCCTGTGGCTGAGGATTAGGCCTAGCTGAAGCGTCCTGTTTTCTGGCAGCTGTGTTTATTTCTCAAGGGCACGGGCAGAGCCGAACATGGGGGCCGGGGCCCTGCAGCTCAGGAGAGCCTAGCATAGCCACAGTTGTTCTTCTGCCAGCTCAAAACTTGGCCTGTTCCATCTTGCATTCCTCCCCCGCTCCCCAGCCCTTGCCTGCACCCTTTGATCCCGTGGGTGGAGAAATAAAGGGAATTCCAAATTCTTAATCCATTTTGAAGGCTGGCTGGAAACAGGGCTTTCTAGGGGCCTGGTTAACAGCACTGGTTGAATCATTTCAGAGAAGTGTGGGTGCTCTTTCAAGGTCATAGAGTGTAGTGAGGGAGG